ATACATAACCATTCATTAATCCCATTCATTCGCACTTCACTGCACTATACTTTAAGAACACTGCCACGGCACTGACGGGGGGAAGATACGACCTCGTTGCGGTACGTAGGTACTGCTCGGTTCTCCACCAACGTAGGGGGAACATCGGCGCGGTGAACGTTTTGCAAGCAAACGACCGTAAGGTCTGTACGCAGGCAATGAAGAGGAGACGATTCTGCGGAGGCTCCTTGTAAGAATTTTGAGGCGAAGTTCCCTAGTGTGCCAGTAGAGGCCACGGTCTGGAGTTACGGAAGGTACTTCGCTACTTGGGACCAGCGGAGATGCGAACCCGCCAAAAACAGTTTCCTCTGGCCTGACCTTTGACGGGTGAAGTTGACGGCCACGCATTTTGTAAGATATAGAACCTGGCGTTTCTAGTGTATCCAGTTAGGGACGGCGGTGAGACATTCGTTCCCATATCTTACTGGTTGCCAGCTGTTCGCCGACTGGTGCCAAAGTCCGTAGGGGAAAGCGCGCTCCCCTGGGGAACCCCTGCCTTGGCGCGTTTATGGCTGATTTTACACCATCAACTCCCACTCTGACGTTATCTCTATGAGACAACTGCCGGCCAGTCTGGTGCAGTAGAGGATTTTCCTTGACTCGATAACAAGGACCCTTCGTGCCACTCCGTGTCGAAGGCCGACTTCAGGTCCAGAAAGATGGTTGGCATATTCTGCCGCCTCCAAGAAGGAAGCCGATCTCAGTGCAGTGATGTTTTAACTGCTGTACTGAGCTGCGACCCGCTCTTAATGCAAAGTGTTCCTCTCGGATGAGACCTATACCTCATATTTCCTGCTCAAAGTGAACCAGAATGAGACTTGGATTCAAGCAAATGCTCGCAGTTTTTCAGCTCCCGCGAAATATCCACCTGGCAGACAAGCATTGAAGAGAGCCAGGGAAAATTCCATGCCTTTTTCACTGGTGACCTAGCTGACGAAGGTAATCCTGTCAGTACCGCAGGGTTGTGGGGGTGGGGGAGAAAGGAACCGCAGAGTTCTTATCTCTGGCTGAGGTACTCGCCCGGCTTTCAGATCGCACCGCATGCACACTCCGTCAAGTCATGTTTCACAGTTAAACATGATGAAAATAACATTTATTTATTAGTGTTTTTATTATTTCAGTTTTTTCTACCGTGAATTGAAATATGTTGAAATTCCGGTCAGTGGGATTCAGTGTATCTACCGCCCGTGAATGTATCTAGCGCTCTCACATACATAACATGTTTCACCAACATCAAATGAGAACAATAAACACTACGAACACTTTCGTGCACGTGTGTTTGAGTACGGATTGTCACGCATGTAGACATCTCCGACAAGCAAGAACTTTTGCCCTAAAATGTTTCCAAGAACGTCAAAGGTTTATTCTGCGCTATTTACCAGGGCGCGTAGAGAATAGGCGAGACGGTATTGGCAGAAGCACACCGCTGTTTAGGGTGGTCGTTTAATGGACTCCACCGCTGTTTAGGGTGGTCGTTTAATCGCGCGCTAACACATGAGCGACCGATTGTGCAACCGCGCTGTGGCAAGCGGCGACCGTTGACCCAGGCCTCTCCTTCGCACCTGCGGCTGCGCGGGCGGCGCGGCCCCCGTGCCCCGAAGATTAGCGCGGGTGCGCCCGTCTCGAGAACTCGCTCCAGGCTGAGGGAGCTACGGATAACGCCTGGAGCCTTGGCAGTCCTGGGGATCGAGTCCAGGTGATGGCGGGTTTTAGGGGCAGTTTTTGATGACCGAAAACATCACCAAAAACGATCAATAAAATGTTTTTAAAAAGTTTTTAAAATGCCCTAAAAGCAAAGAAAAATGACGTAAAAAATGTGATCAAAACTAAGTTCAGTTGAACAATTCAAGCTGTTGGATATGTTACTGATGTAATTGAGGCTTCTTCCTTTAATTCAAATGAACTTGGCTTGCAAACATTTGGTTGAACTGTTCTTTACCAGAAAATATCTGCCTTTACTTAAAGCGATGGCGGTCGAACAGGCAATGGCGCTCATAAGCATTACAGCAAGTTGCTGTCAGCGACCGTAGATTACGTAGGACTCACCGCGGCTGGCAATTTTTGAGGGAAGAAATCGAATAGACTACTCTGGAATTCTGTGGAGAACATATGGTGCATCTCGAAAATATTATCAGAAGTAAGTCCTATTAAAATTATATTATTATAAAATCAATGAAATCAGTGATAAATACATTACAAATGGCGGAAAAGGGTAAAGAATTACTTATTATTCGAAATCGACGAAAAGGCAAAAAGTGACATAAAAATTTGTTATTTCATTTTGTCATAACAAATTGAACGTCTATACTAAATGGCATAGTTCTGAAGTGAAAAGATAAAAAAATACATTTCATTAAAATTCGCCCCCTAGTTGCTAGGTGTATCTTGGTGGTGTTGAGCTGCAGTGCGGAAGAGAATTACAGCAGCCGGCTGATATGATTTTCTACGATATCTAAAAAACCCAATGTCAGGACACAACAAACGGACCACGGACAACAGACCGTGCGCGATCTTTTCTTCCTCATTCTTGTACTCTTTCTCTTTCTCACTCTTTTACACACACACACGCACATTCACATGCATCATTTTACAACACATTGCGTACGACCAATGGGGAGCTTACTGCTTATCTCAGCAGAGGGGATGCCTGGACGGGCAAACCCACAGCAAGCAGATATTCAGGTCAGCGACCCGCTAGCACCCTCAAAAAAAAACCCCACTTAAGCAATAGTCTTAAAATAATATATCTCATTATTGAGGAAATAAATCTCTATTTTCAATATTGCTGTAGTAGAAAACACCAAAGACATTTTGAAATTTTCCAATATTCGAAAAAATCACATATTACAATGAAAATGATACCTGCACCTTTATTTTAAGCATTTTTTACGTTTGCAGAGAGAGGGACACACAAAAATAAATCATTTAAATCCGAGTATCTCCTTGCGGTTTTCATTTAAGCTATATATTGTAATTGGTACAAAGACCATGGCGTAGCTAATCACTTCAATAACATACATTACCAAAAAATTCTCATATTAACACAAACAATACTGGGTTAATTGAACCTATATCACATCCTATCAATTTTGTTAATCTCGTTGAACCAAACACGGTCCTGTGACGGTCACTGTTTGCAATACATGGCTGCTAATTCGTCGAAGTTGAAAGTCCACCAAACCTTAATGCTTGTGGCAGAAGATAACATTCTGTCGTCTTGAGTCAGGCTGTTTCTTAAGTTTGTTTGGAGCCTTCGAAGATAAGGCTCAGTTCATCCCTATTGGTTATGTACGTCTCTCCCCAAGCACACATTTAATTCAGTTAATGCGTCCTTTGGTAATAGTAAAAAAGTCGGTTGTCGTTTACAGTAAAAAATGAAATTAAAATAAATCTTCTGAATATTCTACTTGAAAATATTGGAGGGGCATGTGCCCCCTACTAGCGACGTTTGTCACTGTTATTTAGTAATAGACATCTTCCATTTCATTCTAAGAGTCTATCTTTTCGTGGGAAAAATCATCAAGAAGTCCTCAGTCCGGAACAACCATTCTTCAATTACGAAAGATCCATCTTTGCCTAAGACTAAAGGCAAAGATGGATCTCGACCTTCTCAGATAACAAAACGCTGTATTTGAGCACCATATTCATAAGTAACAGAGTACTTGCAAACACTGATACTCTGTTGTACGTCCTTTCACTGTTTTGACACTTCCATAGTTTCTGCTTGTAACAAAATTGTGTGAAGTCGGCGACACATCTGGCCGCGAGAAACTGGAGAAACAGAAATTTCCAAAAAGGAATGCGTCGCAAACTTTTCGAAAATACTATAAATTAATCTAAAAAATTGTCGCTTATTTGTTGCTAGTTTATTTTGCAAACATATTTGCCACTCTAAAAATAACATTTTACCGCTAAACATATATGAAGATAGTCCGACAATTACAACAAAAAGATTTAACAAGATGAATAAAAATAATTACAATGTAAACGAATTTTATTTTTGTTGCTATTTAGTTGCACAAAAATACAATTTGTCGCTCTAAAAATATTACCACAAATTAGTGGGTTACTAGACAGTAGTAAAAATAATATACTAATTCCAAAAATATATTTTCTGGATCGCACTGCAAATTAATTAAAATTTTAATAGAAATTTTTTATATCCCTTTTATAATGTAAAAATTGTTCACGATGATTAATATTAATAATAAAAATATGAAGTAACACTAACGGACTGGCTGTATGAAAATAAATCAGTAATAATAATAATAATAATAATAATAATAATAATAATAATAATAATAATAATAATAATAAATGCTGATTCAATGGCCGAGATCGCTAATGCAGTAGTGCAGTGACGGTCTCGGATCAAAGAATCGCGGGTCCGAGTTCCGCCTCGGGCATAGTTGTAATATCACTGTATTGTGTGTGTTTATTTCATCATTCACAATCATCACAATTCCCCCCCATCCCCCAGGGCTAACTACCCTGCGGTGCAAAAATGGAATCAGTATTAAAATGCTGATCCCCCAATAGAAAAAAAACAACGTTGCTTACCTACTTCGATAATCAAGTCAGTGCCCTAGACCTTGTGTACAGCGACATTGCATGGGGTAAAGCAAGTTGCTTAATCTCCAGAACTAATTCGTTTTACAATGGCACTACTTCACAAAACTTCCTTTAAGACATGTTAGACTCGGCATACAAATTTGTATTAGAAACGAAGATGTTCATGCAGGGTGTCACTTGGAAATTTATTTAGGGGTCATTCCATGCTGTCAATTATGAGATCTTTTCTTCAGTTAAAATATTAGTTTAATAATAGTATCAGTACCACACAAAACATTAATTCCTTTTACAGATTTTTAGTATGTATAAGTAACATACATTCACTTTTTTCATTCCCCTTCTTTCAGTAACGCATGCAAACATATATCATGTTTTCTTTCTTGTTAAAGGATGTTAATGGAACTGAGTCTGTGACAAAGAATAAGCAAGCAAATGGAGATATCAAAGACAGAGGTACAAACATCAATTATGGAATTGATGATGTTCCGCCATGGTATCTTTGTATTTTTATGGCTTTACAGGTGAGGCGCATTTGTGTGTTTTATAAAATAGCGTATTTTACCATGCATGTTATTTTACTTTTTAACATAGTCATTATTTTAATGCGTTTTTTTATCTTATAGCACTACTTAACGATGATAGGTGCAATTGTTTCCATTCCATTTATCCTTACTCCAGCACTCTGCATGAAAGAAGATGATCCTGCACGAGGTCACATTATTTCAACTATGATATTTGTAACTGGTATTATTACTTTCATTCAAGTTACATTTGGATGCCGGTAAGTCTCTTCTTAATTTTATAGCTGTTTTTTCAACTTAGTATTCTTTCAAAAGATACACCTAATTCTTCACAGTTTGCCAATAGTGCAAGGGGGAACTATATCCTTCCTTGTTCCAACCTTGGCCATTCTGAACCTACCAGTTTGGAAATGCCCTCCTGAAGAGATTATAAGTGCCATGTCGTATGAAAATCGGACAGAGCTTTGGCAAATTCGAATGAGAGAGTTATCAGGAGCCATTGCAGTATCTGCTGTAGCTCAAGCTCTGATTGGTCTTCTTGGTAAGAAATTCTAAATATAATTTCCTTTCTGAAATTAAATATTTTGTCATTTATTCCTTAAATATTTTGTTTGTGAAGGAAGAAATTAAAACAATTAATCCTTAATTTGACGGAGTTTGATATAAAATATAGATATGACATTCTTATTACCAAATATTTATGAAACAGAACCTGACCATTGCTTAAAAGAGCAATAACTCTACGTAGATAATATTGACAATTTTTTAGATACTTTTAAAGAGACAAAAAGTATTACATATTTTATTAACTACCTCTTTCACAAATTGTTCTTAACTTTCAGACCATATTAAATGGCTAATAGATAAAAAATAAAGGTAACGGTTGAAGGTTCGGAATTTATGAAGAGCAAAAACGACACAACAATTAACAAAAGATGTTTTGATCTACACACACAGCATGTTCTCTACACCGCGGAACAAACGGAAGTTATAGAGGAGTACAATATGTTGCAAGTTAAAACACGCTCACAAAGATGGCGCTATTAATCGGCACAGTCTGAGAAAAGTGACAATACAAATAATATTGTCCCAATAGAGCCCCTCGAAGATTGGGTCGGTGCAGATCTCTGGAAACTAGCATGTCCAAGCACTCCCAGGGCTTCAACATACGTAGCCCCTTTGTAAACGCGTCCGCAGGCATCCACTGTAATCGATGCGAATTTCGCCAGAAAGGAACTTTTCTTGAATGAAATGAAATGGTGTCGCGCGTGTGTGATTTGTCCGAGAGTAGAAAGTCAGATTTTCGGTCAGCTTCTGAGCTCCCGATGTTGTTTTTTGTGCTGTACAACACTGGTAACTTCCGCAGTACCATCTCTTCAACCAATCGCCTCACACGCGTTGTCTCCTTATCGCCCTCGTTTAGGGCCATGTATTCCGCCTCTGTGGACAAGGCCTCCGTTGCCTCCGGGACTCTTAAAGTTGTCTCCTCCATACAAAAGCAAAACCCGTGAATGACCTACGATTATCCATGCCAAATGCCCAATCGGCGTCAACGAATCCCGTTAGTTCTTCGTTGCTGCCTCCATAGCTGACCCCAACATCGCATGTACCCTTGAGGTAGCGGAGCCCCCTCTTCGCCATTTGCCAGTGATCCATACCGAAATCGTTGTTAAATGGGCTTAACGTACTCACGGCATGTGATATGGCCGGCCATCGGCCAAGAAGTACATCAGAGCACCCACTAGCTGCCTGTGTAAGGGGTTTCTGACCATATCGTCCTCGGGCCAAGATTTCTGCGTGTTTGACTCCATGATTGATTGGCGTCACCACGGGTTAACGCTCCGACACCTGAAAACGTTTCAGAACGTCCTTTTTTAACTGAGGGAAAAGCCGGACTTCGCTTCGAGAGAACTGTATTCCCAGTCAATACTTGACGTTATGTAAATCCCTGATCTCGAAAGACTTGCGTAAATCGTTGTAGATCTTATTGATCTCTCTGGAGTGGCGCGTCAAGAGTAGCATGTCATAACTACTAAAACTATTTTCAATAGAGGATCGTTGTCGTCGCCTATCATATACATACTGAAATTGCTGGCTGTTGGGCATGTTGCCGGAGCTTCGTCGTTTTGAAAGGCTTGATAGGTTTCGTTATATAAAAGTCGTCTTGTGCATTGAATGAAGGACTCGATATGATGTTCCTTCCTCAGTACTTCCAACCGTTTCCGAAACGGAGGGCGTGCTATGAGCCGTAGAACTTTGTTCTGTACCAGCTCAAGTGTATCCTTGTACTTCTGTGCTGTAGTCCACCATGTTGCCGCAGCGTAGGTGGCCACAGGCCGTCAACACGTTTTATAGAGTGCCAGGCGAAGTTCCAAGGGGAGTGTAGGTTCCCTCAAAAGATGTTGTAATAGTCGAACTCTTTGTTGTAATTCTGATCGAATTCACCTGACATGTAAATGCAGCCTTCGATCAAAAATGACGCCTAAGTAGGTTGCCTTAAGTGCCCATGTTAGTTATTATGTACCAAATGTAATTTGTTTTGGTGGTGTAAAATATTTGGAGTATTGGTGTTTGCGGCGGGTGTAACCGATGGCCTACAACTTTTTCGCTGAAAAAGTCAAGTGGTTTTGTTCGGCCCACTTCAGCGTCAGGTTCATCTGTTTTGACGTATTTTGAGTTGGTGGTCTAGGATTATTCCTCTTGCTAAGACGGCTATGTCATCAACATAAACGAAGAACCGTATTCGTGGTATATGTGGGATGTCATTGACATACGAGAACAATACCGGAGATAGGACAGAGCCCTGAGGCACTCTCGCCGCAATCCTCCGGTTTGAGGATCTCGCTTTGACCACGAATGTGCGGTTTGTGAGGAAAGATGTAGCCATTTCGATGGGAGGCAACGCCGACGTTTTGTGATGAGTGTACTGTGTGTCACTTTCTCAAAGGCTTGTACCATGTCTAGATATATGACAGGTACATCCTGTGTGAATAACAGATCAGCGGAAATCTGCTGAGCCATGCAAAATGCTTGTAGTGATCCTGTCTGTTCGTTCCCCACCAAGCTTTATCAATTCTTCGTTTACACGTCTAGCTACCAGCCAGCTTACTTGGCAGAAGGAGGAGGAAGAAAGGGTGGGTGAGGGGAGGGAGGGAAGGAAGGAAGTTGTGTTAAAAGAACACATACTTTCTCGCCCTTTAGTAACGGTTATGTAATAAAATAATATTATACTGCATTTATGTTTTTATCAACACATCTCAGGCAATGAGCACTGGCAATAAAGCACGCTTGCAGCGATGGGCACACATTTTCTTATCAATTCTTGCATACATTCTTCCGTAAATGGAAGGTGGTCCTTAGTTGGTTGAAACCTGCATATGTTTCATTAATTTCAGGCAGAAATTACGCAAAACTAGTCAGTTTTTTCTCTTTTTTTTTTTTCCAGAAAATTGTACATGACCTTTTTTTGAAAAGCTATTTATTTTCTAAATTTAACAACTGGATTTATCTACTTTATCTTACCAGGGCCCGTCAATAAGAGTTTTTGTGTCAAAAATTCGCCTTGCCATTTCCCGGAGCACGATTACAATACTTTCAATTACAATACTGTCCTTTCGTTACTAAGTGCGAGAAAGGAAAAAGGAATTTTTTAGTCGAAATCAACGAAAAACAACAAAGACGTACAAAAATGGGTCATTTTCTTTGGACATATCATGAATTTAATGTCTATACTCATGTGAAAAAAAAATGACATTTCATTAAAATGTCTTCTTGTAATAAAGGACGGTCATAATTGTAATATCTTACGAATGTAAACATAAATTTTATGGAAATGTACATTACTACTTACTTTCTTGTCCTAATTTAAATAAATCTTTGAAATTATAAATTTTAATAGTTTCAATGTTATTAAATGCTACTTTGTCGTCAAACATTTTGATAACAATTAAAAATATTCATTGATAAATATATAAATATTTTTATTTTTTTCGAGTAATGAATTTTTCTTTTTTTTATGAACTAAAAAAAGGTTTGATTTTAACTAGAAAATAGTTTTCAATCTTAGCATTTACAATTTATATTTTTAAATATAATCAATCTTATTAAGTACTTTGATTCAACTGTGAAGCATTTTGATAGTAATTGAAAATTTTTAAATGAACTTATGTTTGAGTTATTATTTCTTTCTTTCAAATCTGTACTAAATTCTTTTTGTTTTTGAAAAAATACTTAGAATGTGTCCAGAAACCGTCTGTATGTGACAGACCAAATTTGTGCCTAAAATTGAAATGACTGTCATGAATTGTTTTGTCTTTTTCTTTTATTTAGGATTCAGTACAAATTTTGTGTTCAATTAAGGGTGCCGTTCCGAATCTGCATGGGCGCCTATCGTAATCAAGTACGAGCTATCCAAATGTTTCATACAGGTCATTTTATTATAATGTGGTACCTTAGCATCATTGTTAAGGTCATGATATTTTTTGGAACCATTTTCAAAACAAAAAAGAAGTGACTTGACGGATGTCTAATAGAGTAGTGGTTCTTTAAATCAAATTTGTAAATGATATATACAGCCAGAATCTAAACAAGCCAAAAGAAAGCAAATATCATTGTAAATAACAAATGTGATAAGAAACACAAACCTCTATAACCACAGAATACAACAACAATAACTTATTACTAATTCTCTAGGAAACTCTCACAACAGACCAGAGCTTGTAACCCAAACGTTGTGACGTCACCTCTGGTCACCTCTAAAGTAATTTATGGCAAAGGATACTTTTATTATCTTTATCATGTGTAATATTTGATTTGATTTGTTTCCACATTTTAATAAAATAAAAAATTTGCTGGGTTACATCAGGAAAATAGCTCGGTGGTCATTGACCGGAATCCCCACGACAGTAGATAAAATAATATAATGATTACCGTAGGAGATACAGATGTATTGCAGCATTATAATTTGGGCCATTAATGATCATTTCGATCGCGTAGCGATCATCCTCAGAGCTTGCAGCTTCTGGGCCGAAAACAAAGTTCTGCCAGAACTTATATTGTATATAATTTATGTACTGTAGATATGGTACAATACAATATTATTGATTAAATAATTCGAAAAAAATTGCCAAATAAAGGAAGGTAATCAAAAACTCTACGCTTGGGGGGGAGGGGGATGGCTCCCCCTGCCTCTGGATCCACCAGTGATACCTGTGTCTTAACAACTGCCTCCTCAGTTTTTGTTATATTCAAACACACCTGTCTTTTCAGGTATTGTGGGTGTCATTTTGAAGTTTGTCACACCCCTTACTATTGTGCCAACAGTATCACTAGTAGGATTGTCACTTTTTGAAAATGCAGCTGCTGCTGCTTCTCAACACTGGGGTATTTCTATAGGGTAAAATTTCTTGTTTCAGTAGTAATAATTTTATTTGCATATGCATGAATTTTATAACTTAAAATTTAATTATTTGTCCATAAAAATGAATATTTATATTTTTCAGGACAATTATAATGCTAACAACATTTTCACAGTGCATGGAAAACATTAGTGTACCCATTCTAAGCTATAAGAGAGGAAAAGGTTGTCATGTTTCATGGTTTCCCCTTTTTAAATTGTTTCCTGTAAGTGAACACATTTTTTTATTCACTGATATAAATGTACTTGAGCATGTAAATGTGCAATCATCATTTGTTTCACCCATAATTTGAAATGAACATTTTTTACATATGTTTTTCTTCAGGTTCTTCTCACCATTTTGATTATGTGGGGAATTTGTGGACTTCTAACAATTACAGGGCATCTACCAGAAGGACACCCTGCCAGAACAGATGTCAAATTATCAATATTGAGCCAATCTTCATGGTTCAGAATACCTTATCCAGGTATATAAACTTTCTTTATTCATTTGTATACCTAAACAGATTCAAAATTGTTGCTGTATGCTATGAACATCAGTGATCTGATAAAGTAAAGGGACACACTTCTTCTTTTCAGGACAGTGGGGAATTCCAACAGTTACTTTAGCAGGAGTATTGGGAATGTTAGCAGGTGTACTTGCTTGTACAGTTGAATCAATCAGTTATTACCCCACAACTGCTAAAATGTGTGGTATGTTGAGTTATTGTATGATTATTTCCTAAATTTACAATAGCATAAAACACTATTAACTTACCTAAAAACCATACTCGTACTCTGAGAACTTAATTACCTAAAAAAAAATTCTGTAAATAATACTCATTATTTACTATGATTCTTCCAGGTATTTGTCTAAGAAAGGAATGAAAATATTAATCTATTTCAGGAGCGCCACCACCTCCAGTTCACGCCATTAACAGAGGTATAGCGATTGAAGGAATTGGAACAATATTAGCTGGTGTTTGGGGCAGTGGAAATGGCACTAACACATTTGGAGAAAATGTGGGAGCAATTGGAGTCACCAAGGTAAAACAGTAGAAAGACCTTTTAATTGGTAGGCCTATTTACTTCACATTTTACTGCATAAAATATCTGAATAGAAATGTTCTTAAGTGATAGTTAAAACAAAATTTTAATATTTGATGATACAAATTATGTTTGCGCATAGTCTTAATAATAATTTAGGTAAAACATTTTTTAATTATTTTTTGGTATGTATTAAGGTTGGTAGTCGACGTGTCATTCAGTATGCTTGTGTACTGATGGTTCTTCAAGGAGTTATTAATAAATTTGGTGCTGTTTTCATTATAATTCCTGAACCAGTAGTAGGGGGAATATTCTGTGTGATGTTTGGAATGATTGCAGCTTTTGGTAAGAACAAAAACAATATAATGTACCCCCAGGAGAAAAGTATCTAAACTCCAAAAAGGTGATTTTTCAGAACAGCACTTTAAAGGTTTGAAATTACATTATAAAATCATGTTTATGGAGTATGAACATAGCCAATAATTGGCTACAAAAGGCTTAAAAAGAAATGACACTATTCTAGGGCGCAAGAGCATAAAATTTCACTTTAAATAATATATGTAACTCAAAATTCAATTTTTTTGAGTTATGACACTTTTCTACTGAGGGTGCGATGAGTTTTAGGTAAATTTGATTTATACATTTATATTATTAGAGCTCAGTTGTTTTGAGAGAATTGAGAAAATTATTTGCAAGTATGAGTCATGTGAATTGAAATATTGATTTATGTCTTGAACTTCTTTTTAGGCCTGTCAGCTTTGCAATACGTTGACTTGAATTCTTCACGAAACTTATACATCATAGGATTTTCAATGTTTTTCTCTCTGGTAGGTATTAATTTTGAATCAGGATATTTCTATTATTAAATATAATTTTTTTTAAATATATTTATTGTAATATGTATCAGGTTTTACCAAAATGGATGCAAGCTAATCCAGATAGCATTAAAACAGGAAGTGATGTAGCTGATGGAGTCTTGACTGTCCTGTTAAGTACCAGTATATTAGTTGGAGGAGTTCTTGGCTGTTTCCTTGACAACCTTGTTCCTGGTAATACATAAATATTATTTTAGGATTATTATGAGAAATAATAACAACAACAAAAATTGCATGCTCACACACACACAACTGAGAGGGAGTAAATGTTACAGGATCACCAGAAGAAAGAGGTCTTATAAAATGGCAAGATCAAATGAAGCTCATTGCAAGTGAAGATGCAGCAGATGATGAACCAAATACTTTTGACTTTCCTGTGGGCATGAGTACTCTGAAAAGGTACATTAACAAATCTCTATTTCATATTATTTCAATTAATCTGTCAATCAATCAATTTAAAGTTTCAAAGTGTACCTCATGCAGAACCAAAAACTACTTTTACTGTGATTCACACATGTATCATTTTGTATTAACCGTATTCAATTGGGGAGGAGGTAAGTTACATTTCTATTTCAGGCACTCCAGGAGATCATTTCAGCATTTGATTTGTGTATCAAGGGAGAATAAAGTCAATAAAGATTGGTATTTTATTGCTGATAACAACATAAATCAGATATAAAGATTATTTTGCTTCAAAATGATATGGAGTCTTAATAGTTTGAGCATTGAGAAATTTTTTCCTAAGAATATGTTTTTTTCTGTGAGTAAAGTGCCATTTCAAAAAATACAAAAGAGAAAAAATAAAGTCTGCATTCTTTTTCAACTTCATATTATGTTTCGTATACAGGGTCTTTAGCTTAACTCGCAACCCATGACTGGTAGCACGACCGGTAGACTGATATTCTTGTTTTGGCAATTTGGCAACAGTGTGTCTTCATCTCCTTTCAAGACTGCCATTGATGGCACGTCGAGACAGCTGAGGAGGAAGTGAGCGTCAGTTCATAAGCTGCAGCAACTTTCTTGTTTCTGTGTTTTCCCAATCCAGAGCTTAGACGGGCAGGTATGCAGTCACTCTGCAGTCACTTGCCAAAATCTTTTCACACTGCGCAGAGGCATGAGCAGGCAAACAAAACATCTCTTTGGGCGATTCTGTCCAGAATGCTTAAGAAACAGAACTGTAATACTGATGATGTGAAGGGAAGTTATGATTGATTTATCTAATTATTAACAGCAATGTCACAATAATTATTGTTTAATGATAGTTGTCTTAGAGAGATATCAGAAAGACATCTTGTGAAATGTCACCACCAACCTTTTCATTATTTATAACAAATATATAATTATTATAATGGATTCTGGAAATAAACAAATAAAAAACTTAACAAAGTTAATAAAAATATTAATAATATATGAATAAGTTATAGTAACTTAATAATTAATGACAACTCATGAAAAATAATAAAATATTATTTCCTTAAAATGACAATAAACTGACACCGAATTAATCTACAAATTGTTGACTTGTTGAGAACTGGTGTTTCTGAAAGTTCTTCTTGGAACATTTCCTGTCTCTTTAAAAAATATTTAGTGCCAAAGTAAACTTTCACCAAAAATATATGCTAATCCTTTGGCAGCATTTTCGAAGCAAGTGAATTTCTTTTCCTAAATGTGAGTTCATATGATCATGAATTATACATGAATAAATGACTGCCCCCAAGACAGAATAAGTGCTTTCTCTCACTTCCAACTAAAATAACCCTATTCTCCCACCCCTGAAATCTGTGGGAGCGCGACAGCAAGAATGGGGGGTCGCTAAAAGTGAAAGGGAAGCCAATGCTATTTCACACGTTACCAAATTGGCAAAACAATTGATGGTGTTTCCAGACATAGGTTGTGAGTTAATCTAAAGACCCGGTACTTTTTACATTTTTATGTAGCAGCTGTTTTTTAAGAGAGTTTGTGGTGAGCAAATGTATTATAATAATAATAATAATAATAATAATGATGATGGTGTAAATAATGATGATTTTAATGATTATTATTATTATTGTTATTGTTATTATTATTATTATAATGATAATGGTGGTAATAATAATACTGCGTTAATAACCTTTTGTATCACACCCTTTCCAAAATTCTCTTGCTTTTAACAACTATATTATAATCAGCCTACTAGGTCCAAATGCTCCCATTTTCATGATATATTTTGTAGAGTATCTCTCAATGCATTGAGTAAATATCAAAATGATCCTTTGAACTTTTTCTAAATAGTACATGTAGGAATTAAACTTTCCTCCATCCCAAATTATCACATTCAATTTTTACTATTTTAGATGTTAATAAATAAATTAATAAAATAAATAATAAACAAAAGAGAAGTAAACCATCATAAGCAATTTGAATCTCGGGAGTGAATGAATCCAGCAACATCCATTAAGTTTATCACTCTAGTGCCTAACTATCACTTTTGACCCAAGACTTAACAATAAAACAGCATTAACTATTTTCTTTTTCTTTTTAAAGATTTCCCCTAAGACAAGTGAACAAAAACTTGCTTCTGAAAACAAAAAAAAAGGGGATATCAATTGACAAATGTTTAAAGCTATAATTTGGTTTCATTAATAGTAATTCTTCTTTTTTTTTTTTTTTTTTTTTGCAATGTACTTTTAAAAATATTTCAAAACAATTTATAAATTAATTCCTCATTAACTTGCAGATGGAGATGGACAACATATTTACCTTTCTCTCCAACATATATTTCACGGGAGTTCAAGTTTTGTAGAAGAAGCAAAAAAGAGCATTGAAAATTACTGAAAGATCTATTGAAATGAAGAGCTTCATGAATATTAATTCATGAAAAAGTTGAAGACAGTTTTGTTAAGAAAATGAGCTGTTGCATGAAGATGGTGTTGATATTCAGAGGCATCAGAAATCGTTAACGGAGTTAATGACAATTCAATTGGTGAGACACAATTTAATAGGTATCATATTTTGAAATTAAATATTTTCTTGATGAAAGTAGCAGAATATGGAAACCTACATCACAGTTATTCCTCTAAAATATTTTCATACATTTTTGATTTTTTGTAAACACTGAAATTAAATAAATAATATCTATAATTTAAGTAAAAAAATTAATTTTCAAAAACATGATTTAGAATTTGATTAACCTTTTTGTCATTATACTTCCAAGATTTTGAAAAATGTTTTTCAGTAAGGAGGCTTGCAATGATGTGTTCTGCTGTAATGTTGCCAGCACCCAGACACCCAACATCATTATTTTGGACTAATAGGCTACCAATCTTTTTTTATTTAATTTGAAAATTGAGAAAAAGCAGTACATAAATTCATAGTCTGATTTATAATCATAAATTAAAGAAATAGAAATCAATCAAGCATTTTGATCAATGCCATATTCTTTTCAAAAACCTCTTGCAAATAACAGATTATAACCTTTGGGTTGAACTGCTCATGTGTTATCTACTTGGCTGACTGAGAGACATGTCAACTTTTCAGAAGTCATGTTGTGACCTTCCTCAGGGCAAACTGCACTATGTTTGGAGAAAGGTTGCATGATGAGTGCTGAAATGATTGCACCTATGTTTAGGACACAGTGTCTCTCAGCCAGCCAAACAGATACTGACTCCAACTGCAGAAGCCTCTACTTTCATTTCTTTTGCTGATGTGTTAATTATGCTGGGTGCCCATGATCCTTTACAGTGATAATGATTGAAGTATGGTGTACAATTATGCGTTGTTTTGAGCTTTGCAAGACTTTCTAGAAAGAATTAATGGAAAATAAATTGATATGAAAAGTTTTTATTTAATTGCACACACATATCAGTATAAATAAGTAAGAAATCTGTGAATTGAAGAATGGTAATTCTCGGTATACTTTTGAAAAGGCATTACTGCAGGTAAAAAGAAAGAAGTTAGAAATTAATGTTTAATTTTTATCACTTGAGAAAAATATCAATTTCGTTGATAATGTGTGACACTTTGATGGATTGTGTATTATAATGCAAGAATAAAACAAAAAGAATTTTGTTTTTTTAAAACCTGCACATCCTGAAAGCTAACCACCAGATACTTCACTCTTATCCATATGTTTTGATTTATGAATAAAGAGGACAATGTTGCATGATTTGCTGCTTATACTGAATACACTGAGCACCACCCATTAAGGCAAATTGGTTTAATCTAGGGTCAATCTGTGATGTAGTTTTTCATGAAGAATATAAGTTACCAATTAAATTTCACTGTTGTCTTTTGCGAGAAAATGTACTAAAATCTGCAGGTCATACTGACGTCTTTTTTTTGACCCAGAGAGAAGATGAGCAATAAATAGTCACTTGCAGTCACTAAGACATAGAGCCACTAAAACTTTCCCGGGTGCCGAGGCAGTTGTCAGGCTATGGCATCCACTCTCTTCAGACACATGCAGTGAAACCTGAATTAATTAAGCAACCAATGTTGATTCCTTGAAAAGAGTGGTCATTTAGAGGGGTGGTTGCTTAATATGGATATCTTATTTTATTTTACAAAAAATGATCTAATATTACTGGATGTCAGAGGTTTCAGAAAGTGCCTATTGTATTGGAAGTTTATGTAATGTTTTTAGTTCATGAGCACAAATTATGAAAAACTAAACATTTTTACTAAATTTATATATTTAGTACAAATTTACATATTGGATATAAATGCACTTCTAGAATCATTTAAAGTCTTTTTAAATGCATTTAAAAATATTTTTAACTCCTTATTTAAAAATTAACATTTAACTCATTTTTCGGTTTTAGTACTCACAATAGTGGACTACCAGTACCAAATCTCTATTTTCTGGTGTAGAATCAATTTGTCATTTGGACATGCATGGCACAGTCTTAGGAGATCAAAGCCTTGTTTCTCTCACATTTAATTGCACAAATAAAAACAAAAATCTAGCAAAGGCTCTAGGATGAGCACTGGGCTCAGATTCAGGACACAATTCAACCACTTACATGTTATGGGACAAGTTGATAACCCTAACTGCCAACATTGATATTCTACCACACCAGACATTTCAGGAAGGTAAGGTAAGGGAAGGAAGGTAGGCTCTTTTCTCTCACAAGTATTTTAAGTAAATTAAAATATTAAGTCCACTTCAGTGTTAAATCTATTTCAAAATTATTGTGCTTGCAATGTAAATACTCTATACAATTTTGATGTATCATTCAATCAGCTAAAACATACTTGAATTATGAGAAAAATATTGATATAAGTAATGTAAAATATGAATATAATAATCAGCCTTAATGGATAGTTGTGATAACATGACATGTATCCTGAAAGTTAGTTGGGTAAGCAACAAAAAGAAAAGAATTTTATGGAAAAAGTTGATTCCACCATCAGAACTGAGACAAGTTGTACAGTGGGATTAATATTTGTAATCCTAAATCACGTAAGTCTGCTCCCTGGGTGCCAGTGTTTAACAACCACCAGCAACTCCACATCCCTGTGATGTGCATAATCCTGAATGGATAGAAATTCTGTGAGGTGTATGAAAAGATTGAAACTACTGAAGGATGAGACCTAGATCACACAGTGGATGGTCAACCACTCCCAAGCAGAACTGCTACAGATCTGTGATCCACGCCATGTGTAGCCGACTATATGAGAATTCACTCTACTGTTCAGATCTTGTCCCCTACAATTTATTTTCTTACACTTCTAGAAATTACTGTCTGATCAGCATATCACAGTGACTCAGAGCCACAGACGGCTGTCAAACACTGATAGCTATCCAGAGAAGAAAGATATGTGGTTGTGATATCACAAAATTAAACTGCAAATTCAGGCTTCAGTATTTTATTTGGTGAGCTTATTACACAATTCAAATGTGCCCACGACATTTTTCTGCATAAAGTAGTCCCTGGTATTTATAATCTGTTGACTGCTTCATAAGCTTTTTGCTTCAAAGCTCTCCAAACTTTGACTACTGACTTCTGCCAAAGGTAGAAGCATCAAAGAACTGTATTGAAGTATTTTTACATCCAGTGGAAAGGTAATTAAAAAAAAAAAAGAAAAGAAAAGAAAATTAAAGTAATTGAGGTGGGTGAGAGGAAGGTGAAGAGGAATTAACAAAATGGAAATATTACCAAGAAATTACAGGAACCGTAGTTCCTTTTTATGAAAGGGGCAAATACTAAAATTTTCAAGGAAAACATAACAATCATTACATTAAAATTTTAAATGTCACTACAATTATATTGTACATTGATCACAATCAGATAGAATTAAAAATATTCAATTTCAAAAGTTCATACTTAATGAGCAAGTAAGCTAATGAGATTCTGTTAGTCAATCTTCTTTGGAACAAGAAAAGACTCTTTACTTTACCGTTGATCCACTTCATTTCCCCTACATCATTCATTTATTTTGAATGCTTATTGTAATAAAATTATATTCATGAATGAGATCATTTCAGAAAGTCATGTGTTTACAACACAACCTTGCATTAAAAAATACTCAATTTCCACTGAAAGTAGGATTGCTAAATGTAGAAGTAGCTTGAACAAAAAGTGGGTTGTCCCCCTAAAAAAGAAGAACACAAAAGAAAGAGAAAATTAAAAACATATATAAAAACAATTCTAAGAAATGAAGGATAAAACTGAAAATTTACCCTTTCCCATTTAGATTGCAATCTCTCTTTCTCAAATTTAGCAAATTCTCTTCTATCGTGTACGGTTGTTAGTAGTTTCCATATCAAAATGGACAGAAGACCAATCAGAACAGTTCCACCAATAACTCCAAAAATTATACCTGAAAAATAAATGAATGATGAAGAAAACAAACAATATTTAACTTCTTCAAGAATTAAAAGGATAATATATATTATCTTTTTCTTCCTTTCTGTAGTCTGGAAGATTGTAACATTGAAATTTGGATATACTGTGCAGTCATTTCTTACTTCGCTAGTCAATTTGAGATTTATGATTCTACATTAAAATCTTGATGTATTGATAATAAATAAAATGTGGATACACACAATTATGTTTTTTGGAAAACGAGATAAGAAAAAAAATTTTGCTACAACAGCATATACTTCCCCGCGATATTGCTAATAGCTGTGTAATAATATAATATGGCAATTTCTCTCATATACTTCAAATATCATTTGAAAAATTCTTAAACTAACGAACCATAAAAAACATGTATATTTTTTTAAATTCAAAAATTTAAAAATAGCTTTCTGCCATTGATTTGAGTGTATTCACATTCTACATACATGTACCAACAATTAGTGGTGCATATTTTAGTCGTAAATGAAATTAGTAGTTTAAATTAACTCGAACAAACTCTGGCCGTCATTATCCTGTTCTGTTATCAGAGAGGCATTACAACGTGTTGCAACACACAACAATGACTAATAATTCATACAGGATAGGCTACAACATTTTGCAAATTAGCAATCTTTGATAACACTGGCAAGAAAATGAAAATGGATACAAAAATATAATAATTAAATATAATGTCATTATATTCATAAATTATTAACATCAGAGTGTTTGTCATTATTATACTTTAAAATAAGTTACCAAGCAGATCCACTGCAGCTGGACATTGTTTTTCTTCTTCAACAACTATGATGAATCCAGTATCAAACTCCTCATAAGTGAACACAAAGGAACATCCTGAGTCATCGGGATGTCTACAAAACTTCTCACGACCAACACGTTCATCCTCTATGACATTATAACAATGTTGTAACCAATATTTTAAAAACATTTCAATTACAGAACCTGAACAAATGCTTTGAATCTATAATGATATACCTTTTATGTGTTTCTTTCTTTCCACTATTGTTATATTTTTTGGGTCACAGAGTTCTTTGTCATATTCCTCAATATTGTAAGCCAAATACTCAACACACCTTGCAATACTCTTGCAACGTCCATCTGGGCAGGTCTAGAAAAGTTCACAAAAACAAAAGTACTCTATTAACATATTTAAGAAGAGTACAAACATGTAGCTTCTCTCCCTCTCCCCCAAAATTGCATTGTTTTTTATTGTTTGTGTCATTAAATACATGTTATACCATTAAAATTAATGGGCATCTGTATGATTGGAAATCATCTTTCAACTGATAATTCAATTTTTATGAAATTTTCTATACTCATTTATCTTTACTTCATATAGTTCACCACTATACTTTCATCAAGAAAATCCATAAAATGACTTTGCACAAAATTTGGTTTAATCGAATCTACAATAACAACCTAGGTACTGTGGTAGAGCAGTGTGAGCTGTGAAAGCAGGCATGGAAGGGTTGTTGTGTGGTCACACATGGCAATACAAAATGTGAAAGGGAGGAGTATGGTAGTGGTGGATGAAGAGAATGAATGGATGACGGACAGTGGGGCATAATGACATGCAAGGCTGAGAGAGGGGGAGCAGGGCTTTATGTCAAAAACAGTTAAAAACTCTGTGATGTGCTATGGAAATAATCTAATTTGAAGTTATAAGTATATTCCTGTCCGTAAGTCAGTCATTTTTGACAAAAACCACTGAGTCATATATGAAGAGACAAGGTAATCATAAAATACCTAGATTAATAAAGAGAGGCTTACAAGGATCACATGGGTGGGATTTGCTTATTATGCGTACAATTCTTTTCTGTAATCTAAACGTCTGGGAGCTATAAGATGTATTTTCCCAGAATATTATGCCATATCTCAGGCAGAAATGAACATTACTGAAATATACACAATGAGCTGCATGTGGTATGTGGCAAAGATGAAATTACTAACGTCCATTTGACACTAGACAGAGTTCATTTCCAGCCCTGTCTGTTAGCCAACTGTGATAAATAAACACCCTAGTAAATATATAAAAATAACTATTCACTAATTAAATATTATATGACTATTTTCATTCTGCAGTTTCATTAAGCAACAATTTTTATGCAGAAACAGGCATTTCTTTCCACATTGTATGACTGTCAGTACTGTCAAGAAATATGTTATTGTCTGACATGAATCTTTCTTCAATAATTAACAGTTCTTAAAGTTTATTTTCCTATATATCTGGCTGGCACTTGCTGATCAATTCTAAACAAACTTAGCAAATCATTTAATGGCATAAATTCAATTTCAAATTCCTGTACATTGGTATCTAAAAGAAAAATGATCACCCATTAAATGCAATAATACTATCTTAATGTTGTAGAAGCACATAGAGTATAATAATCTGAGTTACAGGGTATCAGAACTTCAAAATAAACATTTATCAATACTTATTTTGAGAGAAAATGAGCAAAACAGCAAATATTACCGGTATCAAATCAAAAGACAAGACATTACAAAAAATTCCTTCCTTCTTGATTCAGATTATGATACTACAATTCAAATGATCTAATTTAGGATTCTTTTCTCTTCAAAAACTTCTCATGAGTTACCATTTGTTTCATATTAATACTTATAAATCTAATAACTGACCATATTTTTACTATTTTAGTCACACTAAAGAGAAATGAATCAGAATTAACTATTATCTATATATGGTCCAAGGACCAAGGAGAGATAAAACCCTGCATGGTAATAAGATATTAATATTATCAATAATGGATGTCACAAAACTGTACGTAATATTTGTAACATTTTTTGTCTTGTTGTAACTTTAAGATACCTTCTTACAGAAAAGAATTCAAATGTAGCCTTTACAAAACTAACCATACAATCTTCACAGAATTGTCCACTATGTCCCTTGTGACATTTACAGCTTCCACAATGACAGTCTCCAGCACCAGAGCACAATTCTTTTGGATTTTCAGGAGATCTGCAAGTGTGCACGGTATCTCGACAGCTACAGTCTTCATTCTTCCATCCAGGATTGCAGATACATTTTCCACAATCACAATGTCCTCTTTCAGGACCACCACATATCTTCCCCTCAAAACGAACACACGAAAAGTTGTCGCATTCACAGTATGTGCCATAGACATGCTGAAAATATACACATTCTAAGACTATTACTGCAATAAAACAAGTTTGTACAACTTGAGTACATTTTATTACTTTCTTTAATTATAAGAATGTATTTGAGAATGATATTTTAATATGTAATTATTTAATGGTACAAAAAAAAAATAATACTGTCATATTACAATCAAGAAACACTTGAAATGGGTTTTCTCTGGAATATAAATGTCTTGTCTGTTATTCATTCTCACGGGAAATTTTATTTACACCAAAAAATTATTGTTGTTATGGTTCACTACAATTTCATATTGTAGTTCCTCTCCCCATCTGAAGTTTGAATATGATTGTTTGTTAATAAATTTGAATGTGAATTAGATTTTCTGGCTTACAAAACATACCTCTTCTGGGTTTTGGCGTCTTGTGCAATTACACACATTACAAATGCACGAGCCTCGATTACTACACATCAGACCAGTGTCATTTGCAATACAAGCATCAACAGATTCTTTTTTTGTAAACTGATCACTAGCACACTCACACTTTTGACCAGTATAATCTCCATAGCATGAACACATACCACATTTTTTATCACCATGATTTTGACAACTTGAAGAATTTTTTTCATATCCCTGTAATCAATAAATTTAGCAGTCAGCTACTCAACAATACAAAAAAATATATTTGGGTACATGAGAGGTGGCATAAACTGGTGCACATAATATTCATGATTAATTAAAAGAGTAATAATTACCGGGCTTCCTTCTTGTTCACAAGGGCAGCCACAATAAACCTGAAGGTCAATAACCATGTTTTCTACTATTCCATTTGGACTAATTGTTATAGTTTCATTCCATATTTCTCCTGCATTTGGAGGGCATTTAGGTACCTGGAGAAATTGAGCATAAAAATACAACAAAGAGAGTAACAAACATCATTATTGCAATCTCTATCAATATATATTCATATTTTAATAATCCTTATAATAAAATTAGAATACTGATTTCGATAGATTTGGAACAATCTTAATTCATATTACATTTTTTCATATGGCATAGAATTAGCTAAAGTAATAAAGAGAGTTTATTTTCTCAACATCAGCAAGTGAGTATCTACCATGCTCGTTTCCTAGCATTTCCAACATTTATAACTTTACATAATGCACCAAAATATTATAATATTTTTCAAATATTTATTTCATATTATAATATTTTAAATATTTTTGGACCAAATATCAGAATTAACCTCCTTAGTGACAATTATATTTTGGCATTTTTATTTGCCTAAAATAATCTAACACCATTACATTTTACATTCACATAATAATGATACATTCTTTCCTGAACAAATATCAATGTTTTAATAAATTTTTACAAGTTATTAATGCTTGTACCAGGCACGGATCTAGAGGGAAGGAAATGAAATAAATTTCTCACCCTAAAATTTTTCAATAACTATTTATTTTAACTTGTAATGAAAGTTACAAACTGAAATATTTTCAGATAAAATGATTAAAATGAATAAAATCATTTCACAGCATCAGCTGAGCTGTAGTAGCCTGCTTCATTTAAAAAAATATGTAATATGACACATTCAAGCAAATCATTTTTAATTTTTCCTCCAAAAATTTGTCTCTGGACCTGCCCCTGCTTGTACAGAAATATTTAAAGCATATTCAGAGTATAAATTTAGGATGTAAAATTTTGAAAATTAATTTTTTATACACTTCCTTGACGGAATTATTAGATTAAACTAATGGCACACTGAACTTTTCCTCTTCTTACTGACACTGCTGAACAACCATTAATTAATTTTTTTAAGTGCATGTCAACATTAAAAGTTCCAAAATTGAAGGGATTAATTGCTTGGAGAAAGAAATCTCTGACCTTTAATATCAAAGTTCATGACAGTTTTGAAAATAAATTTGAACTTTTGCAGTTTTTAAAATATCAGTGGTCTGTTGTATTATAATTACTATACCATTCTTTAAATGTATTTTCTACTATCTTGGCAAAAAATGAATGACAAAATTTCAGCCATTTTCTAGAAAATTTTTAAAATGTCACAAATGCTTACTTTAAACTACCTCAATATTAATTGTTATTTATGATAAGAGTGATAAAAATTTTGTGAGTACAAAATGTTGTGACCCAGGGCCAACAGGCTAAATGTCACAATCCTACAAGCAAAATAAAATCACTTTTAAGATGTGTGCAAAACACTATTTTTTTTTTGACAGCCTTATTTCATATTATTTTCATTGAAATAAATAAATCACTTAATGATATATTATAACATAAGAAATAGCTGATGGAGTCAGATGAGAGTTTTTTATTTCTTTGTCGCATTCAGATTTATCTGAACTCTTGAGCATCATCTCAGTTTTAGCACTAGTGCTAAAAATTGATCTTTTAACAAGCTACACACGCTCTGAAAGAATAGCTTTTACTGGGGAATTCCTAACAAGTATCTTAATGATCTCCAGAATGGCACAACTGGATCATAATCCTGACTTATTTACTAAGTTTGAGCTTAAGAGCTTATAATTTGTCCAAGTTATATGTAGCAGGCAAGGAGACAAGACTATTTTCAGGTACAATATGGCCGGCACACCTATAGCTCTTTCAAACCCAGACTTTTGAAAAATTGTATGTCCTTTAGTACTCAAAACTTTTTTTCATAGTCTGCCTTATTCAAAAATGAAAATTTTTCTACCACAAAACACAAGTTTGCATAAGTAAAAAACCTTTACCATAGACTTTCAACAACTAACACAACAATGTATATCGGTCTGAATGTGAAGAACATGTTTTTGAGAAAAAAACAAAAATCCTAACCTGCACAACTGTGTGGGTTGGGACTATGACTATACCTATCCCTGCACAATTGTGTAGGTAGGGTCGGAAGGGAAATGCAAATTTTGTAATCACCTAGGGTGCAATCCTCAGGGAGGGGAGGAAAGGGGAGGGGGTGGGGGGCAAACATCTCATTTTGTGTGGGTGCAAAATAACGTAGCACCAGTTTTGGAAACAAAATTGCATTATCTCCTCTCAACTTGCACCAAACTTTACCATTTCCGGAACAGCATTAATAGACCTTAGTCCTGACATGTTACATTCATAAGAACAACATGAATTTTATGACTGAAAACTCAAGATCATGTGGTTGAGGTAATTCCAAAATTTTCATCTCTTTACTATTGTACAGGAAGGAAAAGTTCAAATGAATAATTTTATGCATGGCAAAATAATGTTCTAAACAATTAGCTGAGCGTTATTCCAGAATGATGGTCATAGTGTGTGCTAAACTAGCAAAAAATATGAACAATAGAAGATCATTTAATCAAATTTGTTCCACTTACTATTACAGAAACCTCAAACGTAACATTTTCTCTAGCATGTATTTGAGGACAGGTGTCTGTGCCGTGCAGTTCACCAGAATCTCCTACACAACGACTTCGATATGATACACTCACATCCTTACTTTCAGAATTATCAGTCATTTGCACAGATTCAACAAGTTTCTGAAATAAATAAATATTGACATTTAGGTGCTATTCAATCATACATTTCTTAAATGGAAATAAGCAAATAGCATAATTATATTCCATAGATACCTTACCTCATAAACACCTTGTACAAGTTCTATAACATTCATAGAATCTGCTGACAAAGTTCCCATGGCTGACCCTTTAATATTGTCAACTAAACTCTGATAAACTTTTTCAAGCTCCTTTATAACAGCAAAAATTAAAGTAATTGATTTATTTTGAGCTTGTCTATTTAGCTAGAAAAAATAAAATATATTTGAAACAAATAAAACAAAACACAAATACACCCATGTGCCAGAAACCATGGTCTTCTGGTTTGAAACCGGTACGGCACTACTGCCCCAATGATCTCGGCCATCTGACCGGATTTTAAGCAAATATTATAAATATTAATATATGATGTTAACATGAATGGTGGTGTTTTCATTGAAACACTAAAAACTATATAAGAAAGAAATTATAACAGTTGTATTTGAAGAGGGCACTGACAATCATAAGCCAAGGTAATGCAATTCAGAAATACAGCTTGTTTCACAGACAGATTTGCATGCTTGACAAAGAGAACCAAGAAAATCAGTCATTTGTGCACTTGCAATCTGATAAGCGTATGGAGATGAATGCTACTAAATAGGAAAATGGTTGCTCAGAGATCATTATGGTATGCTCATCACGAAAAGCTCAAACTTTTAACTATTGATTATTCCTAGAATTCTCAAGCAAATGCCTACTTAACTCTTTTAGCTCTGACACTCAAAATTAATTATGAAAACATTTCATGTCTTTGTGATATTAAGGAACCACATTTATAGGGTCTAAAAATGCCTACTTCACCATTACGGTCTAAATGTAGTTATTCATTCATTCTTTAAAGATCTAAACATTTCTCGTGTAATCAAAACTAAAGAGAATAAAGTAGTACCCATGAATCTGAGAATTTTGTCATAAAGATAAAAGTTAGCACACTGTCAGCTGTTAAAACATTAAAATATGTCCAATCACAAGTGTTGAAATAAAAATATTTTCATTGTTATTAAGGTTATGAGTTTAAAAAAAGGAATACTTTTTCAGCATCTACCCCTCTTCTTTTAGTTCTTATGTTTTAATAAAACAATTTGAAGTAAAATCTAATTTATGGGAAAGAGTTATTTTCATGTCAATTTACACATATATTTATATATTTTTTAAAACAAAAAAACAGATCATAAAATAATGTAAGTAAACCTTTATTCTAATACATGTTGTAAATAAGGACTCAAAACGTTTCCTAAAGATTAGAAACAAAAGGAGTATTAGTTCAAAAGTTATCTGGGAAACCAATTTGTAAAAGTACATTTTGAGAAAATTTGAAGAATTTATGGTTTTGGAGAGAGTTTGAAGAGTTTGCAGGAAATACACCAGGTAAGAACTTCATAGATTTCATTGGGACAGAAGTTAAGGTTTTCTTTTGTGGTTAAAAAGAAAATGCATTTCAAAATGTGAAACTTCCACCTACATGGAAATACATTTACATGGAATATTTTAAATTTAGATTTTGAGAAAAAAATAAATTTTGAGCCCAGATACCTGTACCTACTCCCTTCAAAAATCATAATCTTTCCTTAACACATTATACATAGAGAAGTTAGCTTTTTAAAAGAATTCAAAAGAATCTGATAACCATACACACAAAACCAAAATGAAAATATAGAATTGAAGATATCCTCTCAAGAAAACATACTTTCACAATTCAAATAGAGTATGATAATTGAGTGTTTTAAAATATTTACACATCATGAAGAAAAGTTTTTCATCAATGACCTGAAAATGCACTTGAGATGACAATGGTAATACACAAAATGATTTTACCTGAGCCACTGTTGGGTAATCATATATTAACCCATGAGTATATTCACCCTTTTCCATATGACATGTCTCATCATTCGGTTCGACTACACCAGCTAGCTGAAAATGAAAGTAAGAGAAGTAGTTATATCTTCATTAGTAGTTATTTCCTCCTTTCTAATTGCATAAATTAATACAATGTACTTTTTATGTTTATCACATGAGTAAAAGAACTCATTCTGCAAGGACAATTTTTTGAACCTATGAGTCAGGTACCATCTATTTATTAAATCTCCAAATTTTAGTTTTATAATGACATTTCTTTTTCAAAGCCACATAAAATCAATTTTTTATTATCATGAAAGTGAATACTTATAACAAAATTGAAAATCAGTATTAATTTCAAGGATATAGTAAATTTCTGCTTATTTAACACATTTTTATCTTATGATTGTCAATAAAATTGAATGGTCGTAAATCATTCTTATACCTTGCCATCTCCTGCCATATGGAAGGTTGCATCTGTAGCCATCACAAGTAAATGGCGTGCATGTTCACGCCAGGCAATTTCTTTAGTGCATACCATTGCTTGCATAAGAGCATCAAAGCCTCCCTCTGGATGATCTACGTTCCCTGACACAGGAGTTTGATCTACCATTTTCTGGAAACAAGAACCTTTCATACTCAAACTCTGTGTTTAGTAAATAAAATGTCTGTTCAATTAAATTACATTTTTATGAAGCAAATTTAAATGAAGTACTTCATTATTGATAAGAAATGAAGTTGCAAAAGATTGTTGTAATGAATGTGACTCAAAACCTAACAATATAAAAACACAACACCAAGTGAAAATGATGAAGATAACTCCATAAAATTAAATTATGGGGGTACAATTTGAAGGCAAGAAACAAATTGAAGACAAAACCTGTAAACCCAGTGAGAAAACAAGACACTTGAGAAAATAATATGAATGCTTATTTTTAAAATGTTTTCGAACAGAGCAATTTTGAAACTTACTGAAAATAAATCAGTATCAGTTGTGAGAGGCATATGGTTCTTAAAACTGTAGGGTTGAACACAATCTGGACATGGAGCTGCCAACCTAAAATAATCTAAACTTTTAATAAACATGTTTTAAAAAGTTGCAATGAACCCAAATATATTTCAATTTACAAGTATTACATACTTAGTAGGGTGAGTGTTCACAAATGGCATTGCTACTTTATCCACAAAACTCCCAAATCCCAACCGAAAATTTCGAGTTATATTTTTCATTACTGCAGCTAATTTATCACCCAACTTGGAAAGATTTTCCTTATCATCTCGCATAGAATTAGACAAATCCATCAAGTAGTAAAGATCAACAGGATAATCATCTAATCTTCTGTACGTAATGTTAAATTTGACTTCCTCACCTGAAAAAGTAGAATTCACATAATATTATGTCTTAAAAATATTAGCTTTCTATAAATTATAAGAATGGTGAATAATAACTTACGAACTCGCAAGTTTATTTTAACACGTTCTGGTAACAGCCATGAGTGTTCTGTTCCTGCATGTGTAGGCTGATAGCTTGAGTTCATAACCACAGGGGTTCCATCACACCAACCTTCAGTTTTGGTTTGTTCATTATGGACACACTTTGATCTTCCTATCACCTATGAATGAATAATAAATATAATCAATGAACCATAAAAATTAAACAAGATTCATCCAATGAGCCAGAACAAAACAATAGTTTTAAATAAATCCCTGAAGAAGAGATTGTGTTTCTCTGCACTGGAGTAGTATCAGTGACCTGAAGAGCTACATCAACAGATATTAAGGATGTATCATATCCAACGGAAATGGGGAGGGAAGCTAAATACCTATTACATACCATACATTTTTTCCCCACAAAAAATTTATTTAGAGATTATTTATTTCCTATTTTATTTTTTTATTTTCGCGCTTTAAGTCTATAATTTAAAAATTCCTTCTCAACGAGGCTTGTGACCTCAGAAATGTGGCCCTCAACTGTTTAAAAAATTCATTTTATAAGGCAGGGGGTGTAGGAGTAACAATGACCTGTCATCGTCCACTTTTAAAAAGACGAAGTGTAGAACAATCATTTCTAGTGTTCTACAGAACATGATGGAAAGAATAGAATGATCGTGGTTTTCCGCCGAGCGAATCGGACGGAGGGTGGAGAACGGCGCCACTGCAAGATAGAAGGCACGAGGGGGAACTCAGGAGCGGACGTAGGAGGGTAATATGAGCTGTCACTTTCTAACTTATTTGGCGGAGGTTGCTATCAAGAATCTCTTCAAAGTTACTTCGCCGTCTTTTGCCAGGGTTGTTGCGTGCCAACCAAACTCAGGGTTTCATCGGGTCTGCCCTCGTACAAGTGAAGATGATGGCTATGCACTTGTCCGGGTTAGGGCTGAGCAGTTTGGGAAACTCGGCGAGACGATCTTTCAAATATCTCATCGAAGACTTCGCATACGGAGCAACACGAGCCCGCAATGTTGAATGCCAGTTTTTCTTTCATCTGATAGCGGCGTGGGGCGAACAAGCCTAAGAGAATCGACGAGAGCGCGCTGCCCTACCGCAAAATCCGCCCCGGCTCATCTTAAGAACATTTCGCCATTAACGCGATCTTTCAACTTTCAATCTACCAAGAAGCTAACGATTGGCCTGTTGTAGCAGTCGCTGATTTCGATGTCCATATTATGTTCTACTCCATAAGATACGCCAGTGCTTCCTCGATCCATACACAATTGAACGCCACCGCATGCCCAGAACAAACACATAGTCAAGTTCTGTCATCTTTCGTGGGGCTGGGTTTATTGTGGTGGAAGACCCTTTGGTGGGGGAATCTCGGGAAAAGATCGAAAACGCTTTAAAACTATTTATATTTATTAGTTTTGGTAACCATACAATACACGCATTTAACTGTGTTACGATTATTAATTTGTGGTAATCATAAAAAAATGGATGCATTTAAATATGTTAAAGAGGCATATTCCTAGCTGCAAAATTATCAAAACGTATTTCTTTCAGAATATCGTTGTTGCTTCTTAAAAAAGCGAGATCACTGAGATGTCGAGTCAATGTCGTTCGAAATCGGTTTTTAACCATTTTTTACTTTGAAAACTGTCTTTCAGCAGTACAATTAGTTACCATCAAAAGATAAATTTTCAAAATGATTTCCACATTAGGGAAAGTATCTTGGACTTTGTCTTTTTGCATTGTTTTTGTGTGTCATCTCGCTCTCTCTCCTCTCTCCCTCTCTCGTCTCTCCCTCCCTCCCTCTCTCTCTCTGTGTCTGTCTTCGTCACTTTCCTTCTGTCTTTTTATCTCTCGCCGTCTCTATTTCCCTGTCTCCGTCCGGTTCTCTTAGGCCTCGCCCTGAGTCACGCGTCAACAGTCAGCAACAATAAAGCCCGCAGCTCAGGCGCAGTTTGAATGGAAATTGAATTAAAATAAAGCGTAAATTTGTTCTGCAGCGCCATTTATTAGTTCCAAAAAATGTATAGCACGTAAACCTCGGTGAAAAAACATGTACATATGCCAACTTTCACGGAGATCAGTCACACGGTGCCGGAGTTCGCGGCTTTTAAATATACCAACATCTTATATATATATATATATATATATATATATATATATATATATATATATATAGCGAGAAAGAGAGAGATACTATATACTAGACATGGTTCAAAATGCAGTTTAGCCATACTACCACGTACAAAATCATCGAAAAATCATACAATTATTAAAACAACGCGAAAAGTACTAATAAAGAGTTGAAAGATACTTTGAACAAGTACATTTTTATGCTTTTTGTATAATTCCTTAACATACTTACACCTGTACTGAATATTAAAGAAAATGCACCGTTTGTTTAAATTGGCCCAACATCTATTCAGTCAGTCCGTCTCGGAAAACATCAATGTTTTGCGGAAAATATATCGATATGAAGAAAACATCGAACACAAAACATCGATGTAATATTTTGACGTTTCTGGCTGAAAATACCTGTTTAAAAAAATCGATTTTTTTAATTTTAATTTTCTTATTTTTTGCCATCCCTCGGCGGCGCGGAGCGGGCGAACGGCTCCCGACTTGAGACCCATCGCCTTGCAAAATCCCCGCAGGATTCTTTCACGAAGATTGCAATCTGCCATCTTGCGCCCGTTTCGCTGTTCTCTCGTCTCGGAACGGTTTACGGCATTCACTGCTAAGAGCTCGTGCCCGCGTTCCTTCCGTGGGAATACATTAGCGGGAGAGGTGTAATTTGGAACATCTGCAGGGTTCTCATAGCTTCTTTCTCAGTCCGTGAGCTTAGAATATATTTCCAGTTTGCGGAAAAATCGTGTGCGGAAAATTAAAGGGTGTAGTTGATGTAAGTCATCGCGCAATCGATTTCCTACTCAGAGTTTAACGGTTTACGCTCAGACATGTAGCTTGTTAGAGCTGTCAAACAGGCTCACAGTGTATTACTTTTATTTTGTTTTGGCGTGCAGCGGCGAAAGGCGAATTCACGAACGTTACCAGCCTCTTTTCCGAAACCGAATAGGAAATCGAATGCGGGACTGCGTAGTTGATTCCTTTCGTGATCGTGAACTTTCTTCTGTACAGCTCTTTGATATAATTGTTGGACTTCAAATTTTTATTGTATGAAAGAGCCAAAAAAACTTTTATACACACACTAAATTGTGGCATAGGACCAAATTTTACTTGCAGAACGTTCTGTTTAGAAGAATGAGAGTTGACATAATTTAGTAAATTTCATGAAGCGTTTTCCCAATATTTCGCATAAAATATTTATTTTGAAAATTCCCAACACGTTTTCGTCCTGATTTCTTTTCTGAATTGAAAATAAAAAAAAAAAGTTTTAGTAATACAATTTGAGAATTTCAGTTGTTGATAAAAGCTTTACTGGCTGTGCAATCAGACAGGATTCGTGGACTGCGGGGCTTTCGGGATTCTGATGACTAAAACTTACCGTATCTAATCTTGCCCAAACAACTTACCGTTTACGGATTCACAAACAGAATGGAATCTGCATTCCTTTAACACGTAGAATTTTCAGCTGCATTTTCGGTCTAAATCGTGCTGAATATCGTCAAACTCGATCTAGATAAATTTGTGTGTTCTATTCCGCTTGTTCGGGGACGAGGTATGGCAATTTGCCATCGATTTGACGGTTTCTGTACCTGATATTTTTTTTAGAATGAAGTTCCGTATCTGAGAATTTATATTTTAATAAACTAATTTTTATCTTCTTAAATGTAAGCATATTGGCTATTATTCAATACAAATTTAATTATTATTCTAGAGAAAGTAATTCGCTAACCTACGTGTGTACTTTGTCCGACACAATTCTTCCAGTACACTGTTGTGGCGAGTGGGTGTCCCAATGTTAAAATCATCGATCTTTTAAATATGATAAAACAAGTGGTATTTTTCCATCCTATTTGCATTTTTTTATTGTACTTAAATGATTTATATTTTATTGTTAGGTCGTGTCTAAATGAAATGTTTAAAAAAATCATTATCAAATGTATAGAAGGAGTCTTTATCTCTGACCTTTATATCTGCCCATGAAACATATTTTGTTAAAATTATAATAACGTGAGACATCTTCGACAATCCCCCAAAAGTCACCATAAAGAAATCTCTCCCTCTGGGCATCGACAACAGTGATAGATGTCAGTAGTTCTTGGTTTTGAGCAATTCACAAAAAAATAGTTTCTTGAAATTTGATTTGTAACATAAGACATTTTTTTGAAAACATCGATGTTTCTGGAAAAATATATCGGTATGAAGAAATCATCGAATACAAAACATCGATGTCGATATATTATTATTCTATATATTAACATCGATGGAAAATATCGATGTTTTAAAAAACATCGACGTTTGTTTGCCATCGCTAGTCTCAATGCGTCTAGGTCTCTTGGTGAGAACTGACCGTTTTTCCACCGTTCTTGTTTACGTATTGAATAATAAAGAAGAGAAAGTTAATACTGCGGAAAATAAATTTCGAGATTTCAAAGTAAATTCACGTTTTGGGGACTCGTGATGCACGAAAAGAAAAGTTTTTACTTTCTCGTATACGTACTTATATATGGAGTAATGTACGTAATATAGAAGAAGATATGTAACGCTGCAGCACAAAATGACGATTTTTCGACCGAAAAACTCGTATAGTGAGACCTTGTTACAGAAAAAGTGTACAATTCTAATATGTAGTAAATTGCTAACTCTAAACACGTCATGTAGTAAGATTTCATAAATAGTGGGGCCTTGGTAGCGAAAAAGTGTTGATTTTTTTCAAAACATCCGTCCGTTCGTTTGTTTGTCTGGCCGTCTGTGAACACCACTAGCGCCTAAACCATACCATTTCCCCTCCAAAATGTATATTTCTCAGACGATTTGGCTCGACTCAAAGCTTTGAGATTTTGAAAATCATTATTTAAAATTTGTGAGTACTTTACATAAAGCCCCAGGGACATTTTCAAAATTTTCTCATAAATGTCTCCAAATTTTTTCTTTAAAAATTTTGTAAGACTAAGGTGAAATACACTTATAAAGATGGCGTAGGTAATATTTTCACAGCTAACTATAAATTTTCGAAAATTTCAAAACTGAAAATTTTTTGGCTTAT